GTATAAAGTCATAGAAGGCAGAAGACGGAATGTTGAGTGTGAGGGAATAGCAAGTAAGCCAGAATGGACAGAGCATAGAGTGCATGTCAGACTGGAAAAGGAGGCTTGAGACAGATGGTGAAAGGTTTTGAATGACAAAACTTTATCTGAAAGGGAATGAGGCCTCAGAAGCTTCTGCGAAACTTCTTGATCAGTGAAGTGATATGACTGGACTTATGTTTTAGGAATATTACTTTTGGCAGCTTTGTGGAGGATGGATTGGGATGGGAAAAAACAAGACATAGGGAAACCAGTTAGGCTATTGAAGTAGTCCACGTATGAGAGGATAGTGGTCTGACCTAGGACATTTTGAGTGTGACTAGAGAGAAAGGGTAGGTGGGAGACATCATGAGAAGGTGGCATCAATAAGAGCTAGCAACTAATTAGATGTTGGAGATGAGTGAGAATGAAGTCGATGATGCTTCCTAGGTTGCAAACATAGGTGACTATAAGAATGGCGGTGCTCTTGAGAGAAACAGCAAAATTAAAGAGATGTTTGGATGGTTTTAGGGGAAAAAACAATGAGTTCTGGTTTGAACATGTTGAGTTTGATAATTTTGTGGGACATCAAATTGGAAGAGAACTGTAGCAGGAAAGTGGGTGTGCAGGACTGGAGCCCAGGAGAGAGATGAGCACTAGATATAGATTTAAGAGTCATCAGTACAGAGATGTTAGTTGAGTCCGTTGGTCATTTTGGAGCTACTAAGAAGTAGTGTAGAGAGAGAAGAAAGGACTGAGAACAGAACTCTGGAGAACAACTCCCTATAGGAAGACAGGATATGAATGATGAACCTACAAAGGAGACCAAGAGAAGTTTTGGAATAGCTTCCATGGGCAGGGAGATAGTGTCAATTAGCAAGGAATAAAAATATTGGCGATATAGCAGTGATGGCCAAGTTGAGATTGGAGATAGCATGAATTTTTAACAGACCTTTGTCAGCATAGTTGTGTGACTTTCTCCAGCAGAATTTATCAGTAAATAAGAGTGGAGAAGGTGGATGGGGGGAGTAAGCCATTATTGGTTCTGGAAGCATGTAAGTGATTGCTGGACAGTGGTATAAAGAATTCAAGGGTTTGGTCAACTACCACCCCCATTTCATTCATCTTATCTATTTTGGTATGGTTTCTAGTTACCATCTTGGTTCTCTTCCTTTGGACATACTATAATTTCTCAGCATACCTTCTAAAATATGAAATGTAAAGCTGATATTTGAGAAGTTTTCTGATCAGGAGTGGAAAATCTCTTATATCCCTTGTTTTGGACACATATATCTATTAATGAAATCTAAGGTTATATCAATGTTTTTAGGAGCTGTTGTCTGTGCTTTTGCTCATGATACTCTTCTGGAAATACTCTTTTTGTCCATCTGCCTTTCTAAAGTCTTGGGCACTATTGGCCGCATTTTTCTTTTGGATACCCTTTTCTCTTTAGGTTTTTGTGACACTACTTTCCCTTGTTTCTACTCTTACCTTTGTGACTACTCCTTTTTAGTCTCCTTTGCTAAATCTTCCAGGTCTTGCCTGGAATGTTGCCTAAGGCTCTTTCCTCAGCAGTCTTTTCTTCTTCCTCTGTGCCAAGAAAAGCTTTCAGGTCCAGCATGAACGCACCAGAAGCTGTGCAAGATGAAGGAATAGGAGCGAACTGGCAGCTCTACTTCTCAAATTCCAGAGCTAGGTATTAGATCAAGGGAAGCCTGAAAAGACGACCTACACCCAGTGGTGGTCCTAAGCCAATGTGCTGGGCAAGAAGCAGGAACGCAAGGCAGAACAGCTATGACTCTAACTTTGGATTTGGAGTTAAGGTCTCCCTTTCAGCTCCAAATGGGATCTAAAGCCTGATGTTGAATAACCAGGTTAAAGAGCTTAGACCAAGAGGAAACTTGCTTTTCTCTCTCTCTGAACCATTGGAACCTACCAACTACCTTCAGCTGACCTAGGGCTAGCAATGATCTACTAGAGGATCTAACTGGGGGCAGTCCTTAGTTGTATTGCAAGACTTAAACATGGGTTAGGAGTTTACAAAGCTCCAGGAGGTCAAAGATGAGACTCCATCCTTAATCAGGCAGCATTGGGCACACTAAAACCTTGCAGGTCCACAACCTGAGCCACTCCAGAGATCCTTGAACAGCATAGTACCCAATACCCAGGGAAAAATTCATGGCCAAAGATAAAACAAGACCAACCAAGGCCCACAGATATGTTAGCCTGGCCATTACACAAAGTCCCAGTTTAGGAAGTAAGACAGAAAGAATGAGTAAACAAAAAAAGAATCCCACCATAAAGAGTCATTATGGAGGGACATCCAAGACGTAAAACCAGAAAAAGAGAATGATTCCAAAACATCTACAAGCAAAGCAATAAAGAAAAGTACAACTTAGTTTAAAAAGTTTAGCTAGAATTCTTGGAAGAAAGTAAGCAAAAGTTAATAAAGGATTTTGTTCATAATATGAGACTACTGGAGTAAAGAATTGGGAAAGCATTAGTGATAAAGGAAACACCTGGAAGGAGAATTAACAGTTTAGCCCAAGAGGTACAAAAATGTACCTAAGCAACATACTCCTTGAAAATTAGAATGGACCAAATGAAAATTAATGTCTGTGGGAGAAAACTAGAAATATTAGGACAAATCAAAACATTGTAAAAAATTCAAATGTATTGATAAAAGTGAGATAGAAAATACAACAGTATTGGGTGAAGATAAATATTGCACTTAATGGAGGAACAAAGTGAAATGGGAAGGGGGTACTAAGAGGGTAGGTTGAGGGAGGGATTAGTAATAAGTACAACAAACTAATATGAAAAGATGGATCACAAATAGGGATTTAAAAGGAAAGAAAAGGTGAAAGCCTATAACTGAGATCTGAGTGAGGGAAAGAGGAAAGACGAGAGCTGAACTCATTTGCATCAGCATCTCTGCACTGATGTTGAGCAAATTTTTTGCTCAGTATCCTCTTCTTTGTAAACAATAGTGGCAATCAAAGAAAGTCAGAAATAAACCAATCTGACTAAAACGTAAAGGAAGACAGGTAACTGGGGAAAATATTCATATCAAACTTCTCTAATCAGAGCCTCATTCCCAATATATGTAAAGAATAAATTAAGATTTAGAGCCATTCTCTAATTGATAAATTGTCAAGGAACACAAATAGGAAGGTTTTAAAGAAAGAAATCCAAGCTAACAATAATATGAAACAAATTTTTTTGGATCACTAGTAATTAGCGAAATAAAGCAACTCTGAGGTTCCACTTCACATCCATAAAATTGGCAGAATTTATGAAAAAGGAAAATGATAAATGTTGAAGGGGCTATAAGAAAACAGTCACATCAGTGAATTCTTGGTGAAGCTGTAAATTGGTCTGTCTGTTCTGGAAAACAATTTGGAACTATGCCCAAAAAGTTCCTAAACTGTGCATACTCTTTGACTAGTAGTATCAGTACTAGGCTTATTTACTCAAGAGATGAAAGAAAGGAAGATATCACAGCACGGGAATTTGAGGGAGTGTCCGTCAATTAGTGAATGGCTGAACAAATTATTAATATATTATTATGCTGTTAGAAATAATGAAAGGGACAACTTCAGAGAAAACTAGAAAATATTTGCTAGAACTAATGCAATTAAGAGAGCAGTACCCAGAGAACAAATTTATACAATAACTACAACATTGTTAAAGACAAAGAACTCTGATCAGTGCCATGATGAACAAGGAATCATGATGAAGCATGCTACCCACCTTCTGATAGAGAAGTGGGTGACTTGCCCAGTGCAGGAATTTATTTTGCTTGATTGTGCATATTTAATATAATAAGTTTTGTTTTTCTTTTTTTCCTTCCAATGGGGAAGAAGTAACAAAGAGAGAGAAAATGTTTTTTAACTGAGAACAATTTAATTTTTAAAGACAACAATTCTCAAAGTTTTTTCTTGCTTTGAGTGGTTGCCAATCGAGAATAGTTGTCATAGTTTTTTGAGGAACTGTTTTGGTATTCTTATGATGGGTGATTAGGTGGCAGAATTGTGTAGAAAGTGATAATCTTTCTACATGTATAAAAATAATTTGCCCAAAACATTTGACCCTCTTTAGTTTTAACTATCTTAACTTAAAATAGCAATTTGCTTTTGCTTTTTTGCTTTTCTTTTTTCAATGCAACACATTTATTAATCCACAATATCCTGGGTGGTGGGGAAACAGAGAAAAAGAAAAAAAGTCTTTATCTTTGCCAAAGAAAGTGTTTTTTATACCTTGAAAGCTAATTTCAGCAAGTACATTTTGATAGAATATGTTCATTGTTAGTATCTAATTGGAGTGAACAAATTATGTGTGTTACTTTTTTTTAAATGTGGGTATGTCAACAATGCATTTTTACGTATGTTTTTCTAATTTTCTGTGACTTTATAGATTATATGAATTCATCATATTTTGTTAGACTTTAATTTTTACAAGCATATGAATACTTAAAATTCCAAGTTTATGTGGAAAAATTAAAAAGCCACTCTTGGAACACATTCAAGTGGTGGTTCCGTCATTTTTTTTTTTTTTTTTCTGTGACCTTGGGTAGATACATACAACCTTGCTGGGCTTTGGTTTGCATTCGTAAAAGTGAAGGAATGAGACCGAATATTTAAGTTTCCATTTACCTCTAGATCAGTGATCCTACTGAACATAAAAAAATAAACCTGTCATAGTATTGACTTCACATTAAAAAGACAACCATGTTGACCATTTGTATTTTCTTTTTTGTTGTTCGGGCCCTATAAAGGAAGTATAAATAACTGGAAAATGGCTTATATTTAAGATAAAGATAGCATTCAATAGATTTTTAAAGTAATGTGAAAATAAACTTTAAATGACAAAGGGATCACTGAAATAAAGCACAACCTTTGTTCTGGTGAAGCTGACAGATTGATTTAGTTGTTTATACTGGAAAATCTTAAATGTATTTTAACTCTTGTGCTTAACCTCAGGTCAACTGATAGTCAGCTGAAGTTGTGGAATGTAGGGAAACCACACTGTTTGCGTTCCTTCAAGGGCCATATCAATGAAAAGAATTTTGTTGGATTGGCTTCCAATGGAGACTACATAGCCTGTGGTAAGTCAAAGTTAAAGTAGTATGGTGAAACAGAATGAGGAGCAGATTTGGAATCAGCCTCCCTGAGGTTGAGTCCTGACTCCTTTGTGTAACTCGTGGAGCTTAGACAAGTCACTTCTTCTTTGGCCTCAGTTTTTGTCATCTTTAAAATGAGAGGTTAAATTAGAACATGCTTATGTTTCCTTTTTATTGTAAATCTGGGATCCTATGATAACCTTTTGTTTGGTACTGTTCAACATCTGTTTCTGTCTTACAAATTGGCTGCTAAGGATACTATCTATCTTCTATCAATATATCTGTCTATCATCTATATAGTTTTGTCTTTTGTATCTGTCTCAATCATCTGTCCCTGTCTAATCTCCATACATCTGTAGATACATGTAACTATATGTGCATGCACGCACATGCACACACATAAATATACACACATATAGATATATATGTTCAGAAGGTAGCATTATGGACCAGATTTTATTTCTTTGGTATTTTCCCCTCCACCTAGTATAGCACTTTATAATTATCTTTAGGAATCATCTGAAGTACATATTGTGAATATATTCCTTGGTTTTTGTTTTTGTTTTAGGCAGTTGGGGTTAAGTGACTTGCCCAGGGTCACACAGCTAGTAAGTGTCAAGTGTCTGGTCTAAGGCCGAATTTGAACTCGGGTCCTCCTGACTAGGGCCAGTGCTCTAACCACTGTGCCACCTAGCTGCCCCTGATATATTCTTTGTTATATGTGTGTTAACATCATATGTAGTTTACCTACCTCACTATCAAAGAAACAAACTGTAAGAAATTATTACCTTATTGAGTCGTTTCTATATTAGAAATCTAAATATGGTCATACTAGCATTTTCACTAAAAGAGATGATCCATCAAATGGCCTCTTTCAGATAATTGAAGCACCTTTTTAAGGATAAACTTTTTAGAACTACTTTAACAGAAATGCTTCTAAAATATATGTTCTCCTGCCTTTTTTCTTTCTAAATTATTTTTTAATTTTTATTGATGATTTTTTTTCACATCAGTTTCATTTCCAGATGTTTTTGCTTTTCTCTTCTCTACCTATTAGGCTGTTTCATATAACAGAGTTTAAGAAAATAGACAAAAAGCAGGTCAGCAAAATTGACTTACGATTGCCTACTTATGACAGTATATGCAATATTATATACCCAGAGACCTCTGCCTTTACAAAAAGAAGGTACATTTTCTTAGCTTTTCTTTGGCCATTACAATTGTACAGTGTTCCATTTCATTTTATTAATTGTTTACATTGTTGTAATTACTGGGTATATTGTTTATTAAGTTTGCTTATTTGAATCTGCATCACTTCGCATAAGTCTTTCAGTGATTCTCTATACTCTAAATTCTTTATATTCATTTTTTCCTGTAGTACATTGATATTCCATTCCACGGATAGGCCACATTTTGTTTAGCCATTCCCCAGTCAATACTTGTCACTCTTAGAAATTCATAAAGAAAGTAATCTAATGTGATGAGAGTCACTCTGTGTTCAGTCAGGGGTTCCTGTCCTACCCTCTGCCCTTACTACAACTCTCCTCCCTAAGGCCAGTTTATCCTATTTCTAGTTCTATGTCATTTTCCCTCCCCCCCATTACTATTCTGGGTCCTACTGCCCTCAGACACTTAATCATTCCCTCTGCGAGAGTCGGACATAGTCACAGGATCGCAGAATTTGAGAGTTGGAAGGGATCTGAGCAACCATCCAGGCCAATTGACATGGAGAACGAATCCCTGTAACAAACCGAAGGGAGTGGTCACACAGCTTCTGCTTCCAGACTCCCAGACAAGGGGAGCCTTCCACCTCTAGAGGCCCGCCATTCCGCTTTGGGGTAGCTCTAATTGCACTTATTGCTTGCAATTCTCCTAGTGGGGGCAAACAGGACAAATCTAATCCTTCCTTCACGTGACAGTTTTTTAAACACTTGAAGACAGCTATTTCTCCCCATGTCTTCTTTTCTTCAGGCTAAACATGCACAGTTTCTTTAAGAAATCATGTGTCGTGGTCTCAAAACTCTTCACCACCATGGCTGCTCTCCTTTAGATACTGTCCAGTTATCAATGTCCTTCTAAAACTCTGGCATCCAGAGCTAAACACAATATTCCAAATGATATCTAACAGTTACATGATTGTCCTTATTTCTCTTTCTAGCCTCAGTTCATTTTGAGCTTTTAACAGTCCTCACGGTATTTTTATGATATCATTCCACAGCCTTATGTTCATGTTGGCCTTCTTGCCGTTCCATGAGCAAGACACTTCGTCTCTTGACTCCGGACATTTTCTCTGTCTGTCTCCCATGCCTGGAATGCTCTCTCTCGCCTACTTTGACTATTGACCTCCCTGGCTTTCTTTAAGACCCAACTAAAATCCCACCTTCTACAGAAAGCCTTCCCTTTTGTGTTCAGTCATTTCAGTTATGTGCAACATTTCTTCCTGAGTTCAAATCTGGTCTCAGACACTTCTTAACTGTGTGACCCTGGGCAAAGCACTTGACCCTGTTGGCCTCAGTTTCCTCATCTGTAAAATGAGCTGGAGAAAGAAATGACAAACCACTCCAGTATCTTTGCTAAGAAAACCCTCAGTAGGGTCACAAAGAGTTGAACTCGACTGAAATGACTGAATGACAACAACAATCTGTAAATTCTTTTCAGGAAAACCCATTAGAATGTCCCCTGTCTTTTAAACTCTGACCTACTGTTTTAGGTTTACATAGGTAATTCCAAGAAATAGAGAGGTGAAGAAGCCTTTCCTTTTCATTCCCCAACATTTGCCAGTGTTCTCTAAATTGTTAAATGGTAAAACTTATCATCAGACCACTTAAAATGTGAATTTAAAATCCAACATAAAAGTCAAATATTTTCTGGTGAGATTTATTGAAGGAAATGAGTTGTTCCAATGATGAATTGTATCACTAACTCTAATGGACATTAAGTGCTAAGAGTAGGAATGCCGCTGATAGTCCCTTTAGGGGCCAGATGAAGTGCAGACTCTTAGTCCTATGCCAGCTTCCATCATGCAGATACAGGTACTAAGACCCACGTGAGAATTACAGATTGAGTCTTAAGCAGCATTGCAATTGGAGCCAAGATTGGTCATACTCGTATAGTGAAAAAGCTTTACTTCTGACAGTCTCCCACTCTTCAAGTGCTCTTAGAGATTTAAGAATGCTAATTGGTCATCTGGCTCATGCCTATCCTGGGAGGATAGTCTTTTTGGAGTGCTAATTTCCCAGGGCACACAAAACTAGCCTTTCCCACATTCTAGATTAACCATCAGCCTCAGGAAATATTCAAAACTCAGCAAACTTAGATGTAGGTACCTATGGATGGGGAGAACTTTTAATGGACTGGTTCTCATAATTAACCTCAAGATGATATACAATTAACAATATTTTGTAAGTGGTGGTTTTCTTAGGATGAGTAGTCTTTCTCAGCAGGAATAATAATGAGTAATTTGAGAGTGACCTTGACAGAAGCTGCTTTTCTCTTTGGAGTGAGAGCTGGGTGTCAACACTTTTTCAGAAATTAAAAGAAACTGATGCACTTTTCCCAAATTTATGAGGCTACAAGAGGCTATGCTTCAAAGAAGCTGTCAACTTCACATGCAGCAAAACAAATTATAGTAAACTATACTTAAAATAAATGTTTCTTCTGCTTAGGAATGGAATCTTTCCAAACAGCTATGGCACTTGTAGTTTCAGCCTCTCTTCTACAAATAGAAGCTTTTTTCCCGTTAGTAGCACAAGGCACTGGTGGATTAACATTCTTTATGAGCGCTTTGCCCCTTTTCCCTTTCCAAACAAGATTCCCCTTCTATTCCTTCCATCTCAGTTATTCCCCTCCATTGCTTCTGTACTATTATCCCACAGCTCCCTTCTATATTTATCTCTTTTTGAGAGACTAAAGAAATTTTTCACCTTTCACTTTTTTTCGTGGAAGTTTATCTCCAACTCATATATTTTACCTCCCTTTCCCCATTCTCCCAGAGAAGATGTTGATTTACTCAGGTTCAGAGGACTTAATCTATGGAGTATTAATTCTGCTCTGCCTTTCCTTCTTTAAATTCCTCTTAAGACTTTAACCCTTTGGTCTTTTTTGTTGTTTGATGGTCTCTCTTTTTTTTTTCTCTCTTATTCCTTACTAATATTTTCTTTCAGGACAAAACAATAATTGATTTCATTACTTAGTCTTTTCTTTGATGATAACTTATCTGTTTTTCATGTGTTTCTGTCATTGATGATGTTTCCAGGACTGATATTCTGCTCACATTTTTTTTTGTTTTGTTCATTTTTGTTACTTTTATTTTTATAGAAATGTCATTCTTGTTGAAGGTCCAAATTTTAAAATTGCTGATTGGGTGCAGTTTTTCAGGATGTTATTATGAGTTAAAACTTGAGCTCCTTTGCCTCTTCAAATGTATTACTTCATTCTTTTTTCCTATTTCTCGTAACCACAGAGTATCTGAGCATATCACTACAGAGTAATGCTTGGTATTTGAATTAGTTTTTCCTTGATAGCTGAAGGTTCTTATGACTGCTGGGCATTATAATTGTAATATTACCTGCCATATTCACAGTTTTTCTTTATGTACCATGTTTTGTTTTCTTTTTTTTTTGGAAGATGTATAATCATTAAGTTATCCATGATATAGTAGAGGTTAGTCTGTTTATTTTCTGCAGCGTTGATGTTAACATTATTTTCTTTTGTTTTTGTTCTGCTGTTTTCTTCCATTTCTATATTTTTATGTTCTAAGCCGAATAAATGTTTCAAAACCTCTACCTCTTGTATTTTTCAATTTTTCATTGAAAGTAATGATTCCAACCAGCCTTTTAAGTTTGTTTCTTTTTTGAGTTATTTCAGAGTTTATTGCTATTATCCTATGATCTCTGTGGAGGTCTATAGAATTGTTTTTAGTCAGAGAATATGTTCATTTTCTTTCATGATATACTTTTTCATGGTTTTGACCTCATTTTGAGTTTTTATTTAATTCTTCTGCCTTTAGAAGCCATTCTCTTAGTTTTTTTATGAGCTTTTTACTTGAGCCTTAGTATTTTGGTCTTTCCACTTTTTTCCCCTTTTTTTCAGTTAGTTGTCTCTGTTTTTCTCCCATGCTTTTTGGCACCTCCACTTTATGTTTCAGAGAGAGTGCTGACCCCAACTGCTTTTCTTATCTTTTGTCTTGTATAGAAGTTCTTTCTAATGTATTTCTCCATACTATCCTTCCTTTTCCAGTTACTTTCCCCTTACTTTGGGTAGCTGAGCAAAATCATTCTCCATTGCTTTTCGTGGTGTGTAAGGGCATTCAGACTGAGTCATTCGTAAGGGGACAAGGCAGGGATCCTCATAGTCAACCCTGAAACACAAGCCTGCAAGATCACTTTTACTTATATGTGTCTGATGTGGGGATGAGTTATTGTGTTGGGATGCTGAGTGGGAGAAACTTGTTATGTAGTTAAGGCCTCCAGTGCTATTTCATGAGGTTATTCCACTATTTCATGAGTGTTATTTCTGCCATCTTATCATATGGATTTAGCTTTACTTATTCTTTATCTGTCTCATAATTCCTTTACATTGTTGTTTTGGTGTGGAATGGGCAGATAGAGAAGTTCATAAATCTTCTTCGCCTTCTAAAGCTGAGCTACCTTAAAAAATTTTTAGCTTTTTATTGATGAAGATCATCTTTACTAATTGTTGGGCATGTAGACTGTTTAACTTTGTATTATTGATTCCAGGCTGCTGTGCCTTTTTTTTTTGTTGCTGTTGTTTTTTAATTCCTTATTTTATAGTTTTTGTTTTCCCTCATTGTCAGTTATGATTTTTTTCATTTTTCTTGGTATATATAATAGTTTATCTCTTAGTATTTTCAGCATCTATCACCTAATTCACTGCTACTAATCCACTGTCCTAGGAAACTGGGACAAATAGAACCATGTTTCTTAAATGTTTGTGTAACCATGTTTTTTTTAAAATTATATGTAAAATCAAGAAATAAAGTCTTGATAGAGAACTTGGGGACTTCTGTAAAGTTCATCCACTTTATTGCACATAAAATATAAACAATACATTTTTCACAGAACCATTGGGTGGATTGGGCTTCCATAGAATTAGAATTTATCCCCTTAGTGACAGTCCATAGCAAAACAAGAAAACCATTTTGAAGCTTGACTAGTTGAGCTTTGACCCTAAGGTAGCCCTGCATAATATCTTCCTCATAAATTCTGTCTTTATTTTTATTTAACTTACAGTCATTTTTGTTTCAAGGACCCTAAAGAACATCTATAAAGTGGTTTTTGGGCTAGATGGTCTCTGAGATCCCTTCCAGATGGCTAGTAGTTAACTGTTGTCTAAACCACAGCTCTTCTTTAAACTGTGTGTCACTACCCCATATGGGTCATGAGTGGAAAATATTTAAGAAGCCCTGGTTCAAAGGAATTATTCCCTCCATTGAGGGGCTTTTCCTTTAAGGTCTACAGTATAAACCACTTGCTATTACTGTATTTGGCATTTTGCTTAACTGTTTTCGAGAAACCATACTTTGTGAGGCATCTGGGAAATGTTTACCATATTAAAATAAAATGTATCAGCTGTAAGTAGGTTTTAAAAAAACAGTGTCACCTGCTTGCCTGATGTTTTAAAAAGGACAAATAATGCAGTTCAACCAATTTTAAGTAAAATGAGAAAAATGGACTTGAATAATCTGTTGAAATGATCTCATTTTCCCTCTTCCACACCCTGTAGCCAAAAAATAGTCCATTGTGTCTCCACAGCCTCTCCCGCATTCAGCCTCTTTTTTCCCCCTCTCCTATCACTGCCATCCTATTCCAGGCTCTCATCACTTCTTCCCAGGTTTCCTAATTGGTCTTCTTTCCTCAAGTCTTTCTCCTCTCAAGCTTATGTTTCACAGAGCTTCTTAAGTAATATACCTAAAACACTGGTCAGACCATGTCATTTCTATGCTTAGAAGTCTCTTCCAGTGGCTCATTATTGCCTCTGAAAAGAAATGTACACTTCTAGTTAGCATTTTTTAAAGCCCTTCACAGACTGGCTTCATCTTGCTTTCCCAGACCTGTTACATGCTACTCCTTTCCACATACTTTCTAGTCATAGTTTGTGTAGGTAATGGCTGTTTATTAAGAGTTCTCCCATTCTAAAAATAATTTGTGCTTTTATTTCCAGGAAGTGAAAATAATTCCCTCTACTTATACTACAAAGGTCTTTCAAAGACGTTGCTGACTTTTAAATTCGATACAGTCAAAAGTGTCTTAGACAAGGACCGGAAAGAGGATGACACAAATGAGTTTGTTAGTGCTGTTTGTTGGAGGGCACTGCCAGATGGGGTAAGTTTCAGGTCATGTTTTAGTTGAACTGTTTCCCATGTAACTGTTTGAAATATTAAGTTAAAGATACATTTGGAGGATTAACAAAGTTTTCTTCATTGTCTAAGTAAACATAGTATTACATTGCTATGAAACATAAAATTTTTAATTGTATTTTATTTATAATGATTTTGTGATGTAAGAAACGAAAAGGAAAAAAATGTCTAAATCATGTAGTTCAGTACTGTGTTAATGTGGAATTATTCTCTACAAAATACATGGTTACTAGCTTAAATATCTTCATATTTTATTTAATTTTTCAGGCAATAAACTATATTTTTTCCAGGCCAGAGTTAAAGAACTGAGAGTAATCCCCAAGAACCCATTTTAGTTTGTTATCCTGTCTTTCTGACAGTTAAGGTTAAACAAACAGATTCTTGCCCCTTTCTTGAAGCTCTTATCTCTTATAGTCACCCATTTTGCAATCTAGGCTTTTCCTTCAGCATTTTAAACTAAATATTAGTCTTGTCTTCCTCTCTTCATGCATTTGATCCCTTTTCATCATTCTTCTTTCCATAAGTAATGTTTGAGGAAATTGGTTCATGCACAATTTTATTTTTGTAGTAAGAATTATGTTTGTTGCTGCTGATTCTTTTTAGTCATGTCCAACTCTCTTTGTCCCCATTTGGGATTTTCCTTCTCTAGCTCATTTTACAGATGAGGCACTGAGGTAGACAGAGTTAAGTGACTTGCCCAGGGTCACATAGCTAGTAAGTGTCTGAGGCTGAATATGAACTCAAGTAGTCCTGACGCTAAGTCTGTTACTCTATCCACTGTGCCACCTAGCTGCCCCAAGAATCATGTTATATAGATTAAAATTTATTGGTTCATTTCATTGGCTTTACCATTGCATATGTCTACATTTTATTCTTTCATCATGCTGTATGCTGTACGTTATAAACTTTTATTTCTTGCCACATAATTGTTTAGATTTTTGTTTTTGTTCAGTTGGGGAGCTAATATGATGATATTTTAACCTGCCTTAGATTGTTTTGTCAAAATTGAAAATACTATGTATTAAATGTTTTCCCTACATCAACAGCTCTCCTTGGAACAGAAGCATTTTTATCAAGAGCCTCAAGAAAATCAATCAAGAGACTTATTTTTAAAGTGCAACTTAACTTAGTGAGGATTTTGTTTTTGTTTTGTTTTGGATTTTATGTTTTTGAGAGTATTATGAAATAGCCTATTTAAAAGTTAGGAATAAGAAACCCAAAGCTTTGCAGACAAAAAAAATCCTTCTGTACTTCTGAGATCCATGATTCTCTTGGAGTGGTTAGTTCCTGCACCAAGACAGATCTCCACTCTTCTATAACTTGGTAGAAAATCTTCAAGATTTGCTATGTTTGAAAAATTCATACCACTTTAGCCAATGTGACAGAACCTTTGCTCCATACTCCCTGAATAGTAGTAGACCTGGAGTCTGTTGCTGAGCTCATGTTTTAAACCTGTCCATCTTCTTAGGTAGCCAGAGTTCGCATTCTGCTATGTGTGGTACAGTGGATAGAATGCTGGACATGGAGTCAAGAAGACTCATCTTTCTGAGTTCAAATCTGGCCTGATTACTAGCTGTGTGACCGTGGACAAGTTACTTAACCCGGTTTGCCTTAGTTTCCTCATTTGTAAAATGAGCTTGAGAAGGAAATGTCAGACCTCTGCGGTATCTTTGTCAAGAAAACCCAGTTTCAAAGGGTCATGAAAGAGTTGGACACAACTGAAAAAATGAGTGAACAACACAATAGTTGGAAAACCCAGTGTCTGTCCCAAGCAATGATAAAACACTGGGACTAGACTTTGATGGAAGAAACACAAGACAGCTGCTGCTAGAAGGATGTCCATTTTTGAAACTAGAGAATGGGCTGCAAAGAAGATATCTTTCAGCTGTCATTTGTAACACTTTTGTAGGAAGGATGGTGCTTTATTCATGGCTGAAACCTTAGAAACAAGTGAACAGGACTGGCCTCCTTGAACACAGGTTAGGAAGAACGCGCCACTCCAGCCCAAGGAATGGACTCTACAGTATTATCCCAGAAGGAGAAAAGAGTAAGAAAAGGAGTAGAGTAAAAAGCAATACTCTGGGGAAGGGGTGTTATATATTAATGTTACAGAAATTAGGAGGGTAGGTTAGATGCTGGGCAGGGAGTTTCTGGGAGGACTTTCTAGAGCATTCTTACTTAACTTGCAAGAAGAAAGAGTAAAACGGATTAGAAAGTTACAAAGAGAACTCCAAGACTTTTGGATCAGACAATGCAATGTGAAATGAAAGAGGAATACATGGGAGGATATTTTGATATTCTTAAATATGGATGGATTAAATTCCGTAATAAAATAAGAACAAAGAAATGGGTAAAAGCACCCAAAACAGTTTGTTTCATTTAAGAAACATTTAAAACTGGTAGCCACAAATTCTAAATGAAGGAATGGAACAAAATTGCTGATGAATCAGGTAATTCTGAAAAAGCAACAGTTGTAATCATGATTTCAGCTAAGGCTACCATAAAAAACTTTTAATGTCATGTCAAAAGAGACAAACAGGGTAGTTACTTGCGGATTATCAAAGGAAGAAGGTGTAAAACCAGGATCAACTTTTCATAATGAGTAGTGGGGAGTGGAATTGATTAGGATAGTATCTTTAAAATTGAAATTAAAAATTTTGAAAAGAAGTTTACTTTATAGTTAACAAAATGTGGAGTATAATTACAACTGCACTAATTCTCAAAATGACCAAGAAAAAAAATCAAGTATTTATGTTTTTGGTGTAATTTTCCAACAAAGCTATGACAGTGCAAGGTAACATTGTTTCACGTTTATCTTTCACTCCGTAAAGCTATTGTTTGAAAAAATTCAAGGATTTAATAAATTTTCCCAGTAACTTCATAATTCTTTGATATGCAAATAATTGTTTTGAAGAGAGTCTCAATAATCAGTAATAAGAGAGAATGACCAACAAATACAGGTTATGCCAAAAGTGTCAATGCGTTTTAAAGTTATTAAATCCGTTCTTGTATGCTTAATAACTTTTAATCTATTAAAACTACACTGAGACTTTTGAGACACCTTTGCATTGATATGAGAGGCAGGGATAAATGCTAAACTTATGTGGGGAGGCATGTTTTATTTAGTTAGAACTAATTTTATGTGTATTTAGTATATTTTTATGTTATGGTGATTTCTGCTTACATATACAGCCTCACAGGAGACAGCATAGCATCCTAGAAAAAGAGTCAGCAGCAGAGTCAGAAAGACCTGGGGAAGTTACTTAAATTTTAAGCTGTCCAAAGTAGTATTCCAAGACTACAATTATAGAGTATTTATTGAGTTGTACTGATGGGGAGGGAGTTTTCTCTTTGGAATTTCCCTGTACAGGTAAAATAATAGTAATTGACCTAAACAAAATACAGCCTTATAACTGCAGAGATTTTTAATGAATACTTAGATAATGAGAGTTAACCATATACGTTTTGCTTAAAGGCATCATATGTAATAAAAAGGTAGTATTATTGGATGTATGATTCACCAAATGGCACAACATCTTAATTTTAAAAAAGAAAAAGCTATGTGAATTACAAAAAACACACTGATGATAGCAATAATCACAGCTGGCTTTAGTAACCCTTTTTCATATCTGAATACATCTAACAGAAAGACAAATTTATAGAGCTGAACAGTTTGCTGGAAAAATGTGACTTCTTCAGGAGAATATGAAAGAACATGTGTATCTCTCAGTATCCTTTGGTACCTTTACAAAAATCAATCAAATAGTGGGGTATAAAGGAATCACAAGCAGATTTTTAAATGCAGAAGTAATAAACATATCATATATAACCATATTGCAATAAAATGGTAATTAATAAAATAAATATGAGCAAGAGATACAGATCTAAATGGAGACTAAGGAATTCTATTGAAAACATTAGGTGTCAAAAAACAAATCATAGAAATAATAACAGATTTTGTTAAAAACAATGATAATAAAGAGACTTCATGCTAAAATTCATGGGATGTACCTAAAGTAATCCTAAGAGGGAAATGTATATCTCTGAAATATATGTTAACAAAAATAGAAAAATCAGTTGAATGAACTGAGCATATATAAAAGGTCTAGAAAGTACATTAACAACCCTAAAAAAAGGAGTAATGAAGAAGTCTTGAAAATGACAAGAGAAACCTGAAAATATTAGGAATTTAGAATTGATTAATGTCCTGAGTTACTATAAACTCTAATAAACTTAATGGACTATTGGCTAACTTGATCAAATAAAAAAGAGAGGAAAATAATGTTATAAATGTTTTTAAAGTGACAATAAATAGAAAATAGAGATTTTCATAGATAATAGATTATCAGGCAACTACTATGCCCTATTACATGCCTGAAAAACTGAGAATTTTAGGCAATGAAAATCTGCAAAAATATAAAATACCTAAATTAACAAAACAAAAAATAGAGATCTTAATGCAGTTTCACAAAAAGAAAGTGTGCAATTCATAAAGGAATGTCAGGGCTGGGGAGGGACAGTGAATGAACCCACATCTGATGGGGTTACAAGTGACTTAAAAAAAATATATAGAGAACAATTCATATCTGTGAAATGAAAATAATTCTTAAATTTTGAGTGAGAAGATACTCTATCTTTTGTGAGATAAATATGACTCCTATACAAACAAGTTAGAAACAAAACAGAGAAAGAGATGCTACAGACCAATTTCCCTAGTTTACATTGTAGTAAAATTTTAAAATAAAATTCATCCAGGGGACAACAGTAAATGTGTACATGTGTATATGTATATACACATACATGTGTATATGTATATACACATACATGTGTACATATACCCACATCTGCATACATATATATGCTATGTTGTACATGTATGTTAAAACTGTCACCAAAGAATCCAAACTGTACATCTCCTTTGGCCTCGTTATTCCACTACCAGGTCTAGGTCTATATCCCAAAGAG